CCCATTACACCTAACAAACTGTGAATACTTAACTCCTACACTAGTCTTAACCATCGTATTTATACTGATAGCCTGATAATAAATACTCAATAGTAAATACCAGTAGCCTATTACTAATACTGTTAAGCCAAACGTTTAAGAACCAATTATATTATTTTTTTAATCATTACTTTGTCTTCACACTAAAGTAATAAAGTTTATCTTTAATTATGCAGGACTTAATAATTTATTAGAACAATATATGTAACATTAATAATAAAATGTATTTAGCCCAATTTATATTATAACCTACCTATATCTATAAGCAGAATATAAACTAATGGATCTAAGTTCAAATAAACACGTTAATTCTAGAACACCAAGAAGCAATAAACTAATTTTTAGATTGTATTTATTTAATAAAACAATGTATTTATCAAGTTTTATGATTTACCAGTAAGTTAAAATATACCTAAACCTAAAGTACCATTACACATACTCAGCCTATTTTAATTTGTAGGAATAATTTACACCATTAAACTCTAACTTAAAACTTTGACTGTCTTACTTTTATTTACCAATCTTATTATATCTAGATTATTGTTTTATTTAACCCAAATTACTACAAATTATAATAATAATATTAAATAACTTTCAGAAATATACAAGAGCTTAACTTTTCAACATCTTCCCTCTTCAGCCACACCCCTTATAATAAACCTCGAAGTTACTTGTAATAATATGTTCATGAAAAGAGTCAATAAATTCACTAATGAAACAAACAGAAGGCAAGTTATTGATTTCTTTTGGTTTATTTCTATCATAAGATTTTTTTTTTGTATCTTATAATACTAAAAAAATTGGGTGAAGGCTGGAAGTTTTACATTGTAGAATTTTATGGTGGTTTAATTTTACCTTAAGGTTATATATAAATATTAAGGGTAACTGCCTTTCCACAACTGGCTGCAGATAACAAAAGGCAATAGGAGTTGAGATGTTGCGGGTTCAAGCATTCAACTCCCAACCTTTAACCGATTCTCCCTAGTTGCTGCTGAGTTTGACATCGGTGTTTGGATCTTGTCTGATAGATGGAACATCCCCAAAACATTTGGGTGCTATGGCCACAGACATTATCCATTATGACTTGAGGATGAGAATAAGAACTGGTAATGGAAGAATAATTCAAAATCTTTATCTCATTATAATATTTTTGTTTTTTAATAAGATCATTATTGTTTTATAGTGCTGATTTTAATCACCCATGGACAATTAATGTATTTAATAGTATTCGATTTATTGATTCATATATAAGTAGAAAATGTGAAGGTGATGAAATAAAGAAATTAGACTTTTGGAGATGAATTGCCTTTAAAAACTATGGTAGTAATTTACTTTCCTGGTAATATTTTGAGCAAATGCTCTTTTTAAAGCCAGAAACAAGCTTATTAGTTAATAACAATAACAGTAATTGTCATTATGTGACAGGCTTGTTTCTGGCTTAAAAAGAGAGCATTTGCTCTAAACGTTTCGAAGAAAATAATTGCTATATATATAACACAAGATAATGTGAAACAATATTTATTAAAGCTAAAAATAAAACCACAGTTCTCTAGCTTTTTGATTTCACAAGAGGTTTCCTTTAGTTTTATCCCTTCTCTTATTACCCCCCCTATTTATCATTGTTTTAGATATTTACATTATAAAATGTATACTTTGCATCTGAAATGTTCATGTTACTTGTTACTCTTCACAGGGTTTTACATGATATTACAGTGACTAGTGGGTTAGCTAGATAAGAGAAAATTTTAAAATTATCAGATTTATTACTCCACATAAAAATAAACTAAGCTTCAAAGTTTTAGAAAATTTAATGATCAGTCATAAAAACAAAAAACCTATCAATAAAATGTTATTTGCAGCCATTTCTGAAGCTTAATAACAATGAAGTTAGGATCATAATACAGTTTAAAATATAAATCTGCCAGAGGTTTGATTGCATGGATTTATCAGATGGCTAAAACTTTTATACTGTCTAAATTTTAGTGCTACTGTGCTCCTTATGAAGTAAGTGCAGTATGTGAGCTATGAAATAGCTTAAGCTTCTGCTTATGTTGTAGGGACATATACTACAAAGTGAATAAAACTAAACTACTGTCCTAGCTGAAAACAAGTTCATTCACAATAATATTTTTCCTGTCATATGCTCAAACTTAAACTTTAATAATTTGTTATGGGTCACTGTTTCAAACATCTCACAAATACAATACTACCTTCGTAAAGTTAAAATTACTAAGTACATGAGGAGGCAGGAAGAACTGACTTGTAAATTACCAGGGCTCATTTAAAATTTAGCATGAAACTATCCCATAGAAACATTTTAAACTATGAGCAAAAAACTAAGTTTTTGAATCAAATTTACTATAAATATAGGTGACTTTTACTATATATGCTTCCTGTATGTATCTTTAAATACATATGAGAAATTTAGTCCAATGCTTCTGGTAACCAATATATTTCTCTCTTTCAAATTTATGCTATAAAGGCTTTGCTGCTTCTATCATATAAAAACACTTTTCTTTCTCAATGCTAGCATCATCTCATTTCCAACAGCAAACAAATTGCTTTGGTGTATGCCTAATCCTAAATTTAACATAGAATTTCTCTGATGATTCTGGTACCCTACCACTACCATTCAGGCTTTATTGGATGTTCTATCTTAAAGCAAATACTTTCCTTGTTGGGCTGGGGCTAACAGAGTGCAGGTTCCCATGAAATATCATTGGCTAATGCCATCCACTAATTTCACACTTATTTTAGATTTAACCAAATTATAAGTCTCATTACCCCCCTCCTAGTTAATAAAAGCTGGAGCCGGGACTGTTTCTCTGACGTTTTTTTTTTTCTCCCGTTGCCAATAACATGCAGCTGAGGCTTTAACGTTTGTCTTACCCTAATACATGTACTTTTTTCTTGAGCATTTGTTTCATTTTCCACCCCAAATCACATACTTTATATGATGTTGATACGTGTTTTTCCATTGCCAGTAATGTATATTTAAGAAAAAATTAGGAGATGACTTAGCTTAAAGTACTATAGAAGTGTTTGAAATTTGTCTATAAACTAATAATTTCTAACCTTGCTAACTTAACATCAGGACCTTCAGTAGCTCTGATCAGTATAGCTTCAAGTTTCTGTAGAACAACCATCATCATAGCACGGGTAACTGGCAGCTGGGAGTTATCCAGTTGTTTCCACTCATCCTAAGAATAACCACATAAAATGTTCAGTTGTTTTCTTCATAAAGATGGCAAAAGAATCCAGTCAATCCATAAACAAAAAAAAGAAGCTAATATTAGTTTAATTTTTTCAATTTTGGTCTGGGTTATATTAACACAAACAGGACTTTAGTTTCTTTTATGCCTAATTATAATTAACACATAAAAACCTTAATACAAAATCATAGTTATGTCATATACTTCTGTAGAATAAATGAACAATATTATAAACTTCAGGATAGTTGAACATCATTCAACAAATATTGGAAGGGCCACAGTAAACTTCCAAATACAGGAAAATGAAATCAAATGTATAAACATAATAAAATTTTCTTCATCATCAAGCTATGCTTGCATTATCCCCGAATAAGTATAATAGTAATTTTCAACTGTCCATCATTAGTAATAAACGTATATAGGGTAATTCACTATGTCTCAAATGCTTATTTGGAAACATCCTCTTGAAGATAAAGGAAAACAATAGAGGGTGTTCTCAACTTTGTTATAGAATGATGGATCTGGATGTTTAATAAAATGTTTTGATTTAAAACTTTAAAATCATGCAGCTACACAAGTGAATTGTTTTGCAATGCCCATGTCAACATATGAATACTATTATAGATAAGTATATAGTCTGTAATTCCATTTAACTAATGAGTATAACTATTAAAAAGCATACAATATTTTCGGGAGAAACTGTTAATTATAGACATCTTCAGCAGATAACAAATTATATATAACTTACAGACTCAGATATTAGCACATTTAAATATAATTATGTTACAAATTAAGAATTTCCATATTACAGACTTCTGAGATCTTCTGGTTTCTCCATCTTGGGTGTTTAACACTTTCTAAAGATCAAATTTTAAGTACAATGGATAAAATTACCTCATGGAATCGAACTGTATGATGCCTCGACAAGTTTAATGAAGATGAAGAATGTTTAAGGATAAGACGGATGTTTCCTTGTAACACCACCAGAGGATACTCATCTAACCTACTATCAGGAAATCGACTTTGACCACGGCTTTCAATTTCAAACACAAGTTCACCATTGTAAGCCAACACCTGCAAAATTATTTTTTCATTCTTTTTACAACAATACATCTGTAGTGCCATGCTGAATTTCTCTTATTCTGAAGCACCAAAAACTAATTTAAGATAAATTACAATATTAGAAATAGGTCAATAATTACCATTACTGTAATATATATAAAAGAGTTGGTTTGTATTAAAAAAAAAAAAGTGAGAACAATTTGTAATATTTATCTTCAACCCACAATTTTGATTACTTAACCAATGAATATAGAGAATTATGATTTTATAATCAATATATAGTAAGTAATATCTTGAAGATCTCATTTTCTCAGTCAATTTAACACAAAAAACAAATGTGAATTAACTGAAAACATTTTGTGTTTAACAACCTTAATATAAATGTCTCTAGCAGCCCACCTATAAGCTTGAAGGCTTACAATGCTAAAAGTTGGTGATTGATGCCCATGGTAGGCACAGTGCAGATAGCCCATTATGAAGCTTTGCACTTAACAAATCCACACAAACTTAAAATTAAGAACAAGCAGTTGAATTTTCAAAGGGATATATATCAAAAGTTTCAAGAGGTTTTAAATAATTATGTACATGTATTTTTGTTCAGAAGAAATGGCATAGTAAAGATGTTTCTAAACTTTCCCAACTCAAGATGATTTTCTGGAATCTATTCTCAATTGGGAGGGATGAATTATTATTAAGGTACATTTTAATAGTGTACTAGTGCTCCAATATTTCAATGATTAGTTTTGTTTATTCAAAAGGACTGAGATCATTGTAAGTAATTTAAACTATATAT